TGTTAGTCATAAGAATGGGTGGAAGAGACATAAAGCAAAGATCACAAACAACCATGTAGAAAAAAAACATATTAACACTGGACAAGTTGGCACACAGTCAAAGTTATTTTGAGATACTAGACAACTTAGCAAAGCAGATTAAGCAAGAACCTAAGTGAACAGTTTAGGCAAACATCATGAGTATTCCTAGTTCAAACATGCTGGCATACTTAACAAGCAGATTGAAATATGCTGGATAAAGCAGTAGGCAGAATTAGACATACTAATCACAGGTTTTAACAGAAACCAAATTCAGACATGCTAGGTGAAACAGTAATCAGGTAGTGTAATTTAGACATGCTAGTTACATATTGAACAACATGATAGTAAACAAGAAACCGGATTGGGAGTCATAACTAATGAACTAGCACAACAATGAAACACATAGAGTTTTGCACTTTGAAACTGAATCAGGACATACCAGTTAAGGAGAGAAAGACATAGAGTATAGAGCAGATGTGGTGCAATAGCTAGCCTTGGCTTACAGCCGGCTAGGTCAGTGAAAATTGCAAGTAACAAAGAAGAAAAGAGAGAGAGCTTTTAAGTGTAAGAGAGTTTTTTTGAACTAGTTCGTGTGTAGAAGTGAGAATATAGGAGAGTATATATAGTAGTCAAGAGTTAAACAGAATAAGGTAAAGAATCAATTATGTAGCAATTAGAAAAATTTACAGAACTAGTCATACGTAAAATCAGTAAAGTCTCCCCTAATCAAGGGGTAATCAATCAACGGTAAAGATCAGGACAGATATTTAAGGAAAGAAATCAAGTAAGACTTAGGTACGAAGTAGGCAATAAGGGGTAAATAAACAAGAGTTCAATTAAGGAAACAATTAGTAAGAATCAGCAAGTATCACAGTTAATTCAAATAAGGCAAGAAACTAAATAAGGTTGCAAATAAAGGAATAATCAAGGATCATCATATAAGTTTTAACGAAACAACTCAGTGAATCAAGAATTCAAAACAACACTAATTTAAGGAGAAAAATATAGGTTTTCCATGAATAAATAGACAAAATGAACATAGACACATAGAATCAGTCGAGAAATCGAACCAGGAACCTTAATAGAGGCACATTAGGGTAAAGTCAAAAGACATTCAAATTAAACGAAGGAGAAACCATGCAAATCAAAGCATAGAATAAAATCATGTAGCAAGTAACACGGACAAGCTCAGAATCCAAACAAAAATGTCAAAAAATTGGGGTTTTAGCATAAACTAGTTAGGGTTGAGGCAAACTCAACATAATCGGTCAAAAACACATAAGAATAGAAGATGAAACATTTAAAACCAGAAAACGTTTTAAGGAAAAAGATTTTCAGGAAACCCTAGTTTAGGAAAGTGAAAAGCCACTCGAAAATCAGAAGATTTTCACAAAAATCATGTGAAATAAGTTCAACCCATCTCAGATCTTCTACAGATCTGAGAAGTTCAAAGAACGAAATTAGGGTTTTAAAAAAAAAATAACACAGAGATGAAGACATAGGCTTAGAAATCCATAGGTTTAAGGCGAAATAGGAAGATCTTACTCGAAACTGAACCAGAATGGCCTGAAATAGGCAAGAATGGGCCAAAGGTGTAAGCGGACTGACCCTGGTCCCTCGAGGACCTTAGAGACGGCGGTACCCAGCATAGGAGAGGCCATTAGAGGCCTGGGGGTGGTGAGAAACCACCATGGACGGCGGTGGATGAGTGACAGCGAGGGAGTGTTAGGGTTAGGATTAGAGAGCATTTGAGAGAGAAGGGGAAGGGGTGACGGCAGGGTGAGAAGAGAGAATGAGAGTTTTGGGGGGGGGGGTCTTTAGGTTTAATTATGGTAGGAATAATCTGGTCCGTTGATCATTTTGATCAACGGCCAAGATTCCACAAGACTTGGGTCGGGTAGGTAATGGGTTTGGGCTTGGGTTTACTGGCTGATTTATAAGGGTATTTGGGCTAGTTAATTAGGCTAGAATTAAAATTAAATAAGGTCACTTGTTAAATACCCCAAATAAATTAATTAATATAATTTGTAAAATAATTACTAATTATAAAAATGAATTTTATGCATAGAAATGTATTAAAAATGGTTATTTGGTATTTAAAAATACAAAAGTCTAATTTTTGGTAAAAATAATGCGAGAATCGTACGCATGGGCTATAATTGCAAAGTCATTGCAATAATGGCCAAAAGATGCCAATTTGGCTATTTATGGAATAATTTGGACTTAATAGGACCATAAATAGTAAATTAAATCGAGAAATATTTTTGACTCATTTGTGATGCAATTTTGTAATATTTTATTAGAAATAAAATATTGAGCGAATTAAGAAAAGGTGTAGAAATTATGAAAAAAATACTAATTGATGCTAATGCATGATTTTGAAGACATATATGCATTTTAAAATTATTTTGGTAAAAAATGGGTATCAACAGAGGATGATACTTCTGGAAACTCTCTAACCTCTTCTGCTCCTCCACCAACGCAACTGGCCGACCTCGGGCTGAACCGCAATCACGGGTTGCACCGGTGTAGCACTCAGAGCCTAATTAACATGAGCCCCCTGCTCTAGACTATAGGCGGCGAGAGTTTGAGCTCCTCCCTCAGCTTGTGAAGTAGCTGGTGCCACTGAGATCAACCCCGGCTGAGCCAAGGTACCAAACATGCTCAGGAAGTTCGCTAAAGTCCTGAAGTCCGGGGGTAGCAATAGATGCCTCAGGTACCTGCTTCCCAATCGGATCTACTGGTGGCTCCTCAGTCGCGACCCTAGCACGGCCCTCCGATGCGGCATGTGGTCCGCCTCTACCTTCGCCTCTACCCCGGCCTCTAGCAACACCAGCACTGAGGGCAACATCATCAGTGATTGAAGCTCGTGTGCTCATCATCTGTGAGAAAATAGAAAGACAAAGGCGCAAACTCCGAAATCAATAAATCTGCATGATAAGGAATGAAATAAGTGGAATTTCTTAATAGTTCTGTAGCCTCTCGAAGATAAATACAGACGTCTCAATACCAATCTGCAAGACTCTACTAAACTTGCTTATGACTAGTAGAACCTATGAACCTGGAGATCTGATACCAACTTGTCACGACCCAAAATCACGTCATAGGGGTCGTGATGGCACCTAGTCTCTAAGGCTAGGTAAGCCTATCACATATAATTCCAATCCAAACATAACAACTTAAGAAATTGATAAAATACTGTGAAACATGATAATACATGCAATGATGAGTACAATAAGAAACTTCCCAAAACCCAGTAATATTGTTCATAAGCTCTACAAGGATTACCTAACAAGTCTCAAAGTGTACATCATTGTATAAAATACATAAATAGTAACAAAGAAAGTAAAGAGGGTGACTCCTAGGCCTGCAAGCGGAACAACAGGGATACCTTGAAGTCTCCGGCAAGTTTTAGCACCTCCTAAGGATCAACTCGAGCCAAAGTACCTAGATCTGCGCAAAGAATGTGCTAACGCATATTATGAGTACACCACAGCCGATACCCAGTAAGTTTCAGGACTAACCTCGGTGGAGTAGTGACGAGGTTCAAGTCAGGACACTCACTAGTCAAATAACTTGTGCAAGATATCAACATAAAACTGACAATGGAAAGCATAATAGAACACATATCAACAACCTCGATTAACGTGTAATAATAACTCAATACAACATAATCTGTTTTTGCCAACAAAATATCAAATAAGAGTGGGCCATGTGATAGCATGGCAAATCAATCAACAACTCATAAAACACAAGGTGAAATCATTTAAGGAAAAACAAGAATATGTTCAAAACATCAACCCCGTTCCAACACATGACCAACATCAAGGTATACCCCGAAATATCACGTAACATCAACAACAACAACACCCTTATATCTTCGCGTGCGCATCAAATGAAATACTTCCCCTTATATTTCTACACACGCATAAGTCATCCTTATCTCACCGCACGCGTATCACAGTGAAACGCCTCCCTTATATCGCTGCATGCGCATCTCGCCAACCTTATACTCCACACAACATCAATCAAACCACACATAATGTCTGTGCCACAATATCACAAAACAACAAGACCCAAAGTCACCTCAAATATAGGCTCAAAGCTCAATAACAACGTGCACAAGAACATGACAATAATATAAGGGTGGGGGGGTATTCAGCAATAGAGCATGTTTCATAAAGAAAATAATCCCAATTAAGGCATATTAATAGCCTAAGGTCTAGTCCAATCATGACCGCCAGATACGCCCGTGTACACACTCGTCACCTCATGTACGTGTCGTTTCACATAATATAATTATACAATTTAAACCTTTCACATAATATAATTATACAATTTAATCCAATTCCTAAGGGGTAATTTCCCACATAAGGATAGGCAAAGTACTTTCCTCAATTAGGCCAAATCAACATGTTAACAATGCTTTTCCTTTGTAATCCACCTTCGTCCAGCTCAAATCTAGTCAAAAACGACTTAAATAATGCAAGAGAAAATAATTTAATTAATGAAGTTGAGATCTTTACACAATTCTCAAAAAGTTAACAAAAGTCAACCCCGAGTCTCATGGTCAAAATCCGAGTCAAGGGGTAGATCCCGACTACCCACAATCCCACGAGTCCAAATATGTACTTGATTTTCAAATCTCAAAAAAAAATTATAACCTAGTCAAAATCCCCAAAATTCCCCTTCAAATCTCATGATTTTGATGTTAAAATTCATAAGTAATTATCATATCACTACTAAAAAATTGGCCTATTGCAACGGTTCAAAAACTGTTGCAATAGGCAGTAAAACCGTTGCCATAGATCTATTGGGACGGTTAAACACCCGTAACATCAGGTCGCGTGCCAATAGGGCCTATCGCAACGGTTTTTAAAAGCTATCGTAACGAATTTTGCCTATTGCAATGGGATGATGGTTTATGAAAATAATTATTTATTTATATAAATCACAAAAGAAACTATGCAACAACAAAATCACAATCCAAATAATCAAGTAGTATTATCTTTTATTAAAGAAAATTGTACAATACTGTTTGACAACTTCAAAGAGTTGACATACGTAGAACTTCTAAAATAAAAAATTCCTAGAACATCTAAAGACCTTGCAACCATCAACCAATATCTAAAGTACTTCACTTCTTTTGTCTACTCCTTCTTCACTTGCTTTACCTACAAAACCATAAAAAACTAAGTTATATCGGATTTATTTGCATAGCGATTAATTAAAAAAGAACTCACATGGAAAGGAAGCAACATACACAAGATTAACATATAGTTAAATTTAATCAATTTTACAGCAAGTCAAAAGATATGCAAGTTGTTAGGGACTACCATCCAAATAATATCCAAATGAATCTGACTTAAGGAGTATAAGTTGCATGTGACAATATTAAATATGACAGGAAAGCGTTAAGAAAAAGGCTGCAACTTCATATTTTAGAAAAACCAGTCAAATGAGAAACACCAAACTTCATACGGCAAGAACTCAATATCTCATTCCCATTCAAACACAAAAAGCAACAACAGGCAGAAACACCTTCATACTAATATGCGCCAGCAAAGATAACTTTACTTGTTGTAACAAGCATCTTCAATAACTCCAAGTAATATCAATAGAAGCTATTAAAAGTAGAAAGAAAAAAATTACTGTGCACACCTTCAGGTTGTTAGTTTCATACCCAACTTCACACATTCATATCCAACAATTAGTTTCAATAATTAATTGCTAGAGAGTACACCTAATACGTTCTTATCACAAAATGAAACACGAAGAATAGTTTTAACATGATAATGCAGTAGTATTGCAGTATCAACAAACAAATTGATATTAACACAAAAAAGATGAAGTTGCAGACTTAACTTGTAATATGCCTTTCACATGCTTCAGACAATTTATCTCTCTTTCGACGGCTAGTATAATTAGCAAGAGGTAAGAATAGTAAAGGTATCGTATCCATTATGCAAAAACAAGTTGAAAACTTCACACTGCTACAGGAGTATAAAATAATATTATGTTACATGCCACTTTACATGTGTAGGTATTTTTAGAGTACCAAAAGCACAAGAGATAACTCACTTATAAATGAAGTACACAACATCAACCAAATCAGCTAGGTTTCATGGTGTATCCATGTTCTTTACAGTATAGAGGAGAGTTTCCAGATAAAGCAAGAAGCAACAACAACATTGGACCTCCTACACCATACTCATTAATTTCAATTTTGGTAGTCCTTTTACTGCCTCCAAACTGGACTTATTAAGACAACCAAAATTATATTTAATTGCCTGCAACACTGGCCAAATAACTTAAAAGTCTCTTCCTAAATCCAATAAAATTACATTAGAGCAAGCCTACTCAGAAGCTCTATGATAGGTCTAAACCTTGGAGCATAGACAACACAAAGGCATAAACAAATAAAACTGAAGAAGTGTTCAATATTATTAAACAATACCAAACTAGTACACCGAACAAAAACATTATATATGTTATTAAATTTAAAGATTCGTCTCTTGAACTATACTAGTCACAAAAGATTGAAACAATGGAATCAATACAAGAAATCTATTGAAGGAAAGAGGCAAAAATATGATCACAGTTTGATGATTATTCACTAATCATTACAGGGTATACAATCTTCAAGTTGATATAAATACTCAAGCTAATACATGATATTTAAAAAGAAAAGAAAACTTCAAACTTCAATGCTTAAGCAAAATAGAGAACTAAAGAAAAATATATATATTTCAACAACAGTTAAATCAAATAACATTTATAGACACACAAAGAGGTTCTAAGATAAATATCATCAAATAGAAAGCCACTACCAAAAGATCACTAGTCGTTTTCATAGTATCAAAACTTAAATAATTTTTAGAGTGTAGACCAAACTATACCTTTTCAAACATGGATAAAGCTCTATCATAGAATCTCTGCACAAGCTTGTAATAATAAACATGTCACAACTCTGAAAAAGGAATAGAAAGGGGATTAGACTTAGATACACCTAGATAAGAACGGATNCAACAACAGATTGTTAGATGCCGGCACGTCTATCACTTGAAAATCAACATCAAACCAAGTAGGCCCCATTTGCAAACACAAGCTAATTTCCCCAATAGTAGACCTTTGGGATCCGTCGAAAGCTTTGACGTTGATGGCCCCATCCTTGATCTCATGCAGCCCCTTTCCTAATGTCCTAAGTGTTACCAGCGAACAAATGTTGAGGCTGGATCCTCCGTCAATTAGGACCCTGGTGATAAAATAATCTTCGCACTGCACGGTGATGTGATACGCCTTGTTGTGACTCAACCCCTCTGGTGGCAGCTCATCTTTGTGGAAAGTGATCTTGAGACTTTCCAATACCTGGCCTACCATGTTAGCCATTTCTCCGCCGGTGATGTTAATTGGTACATATGCCTCACTCAGCACTCTTAACAAGGCATTCTTGTGTGCATCGGAACTTTGTAACAAAGCAATAAAACCACAGGCGACTTGAAATTTAGCTCAGGAGATGGTTTCTGAACTTCAGCAAATAGAAATAAACCAGAACACACTCGTTTGATCTCAAACTTATGCGAAATTGAACTAGAACTCAAAACTATCTTCAAACCAAGCGATGTAACAGTGTTTTTGGATTTCTACTGGATTTTTGGGTTTGTTTTGGATTTTTTTTTTTGCAGAAATTAGGATCTAGAGCTGAAATTTGAGCTTGACCTCAAAGGATCTTCAATGAAACAATACTGTTTTTTTTTTAAGTTTTCTGGAGTTTTACTGATTTTTTTGGTTTTTCTGGAGTTTTTGATCTAGGACCTAATGAGTTTTTTTGTAATTTTTGAATTCAAATCTCAACTGATGAAAATTTGTGGAAAGTGGGGAGGGATTTTCAGAGGTGCAAAACTTGTTAAAGAAGGCAAGGGGGCTGCCTTTTATAGGCAAAACTTAGGGCAACTTTCAAATTTTCCCTTTACACCTTAGTCCCTTATTAATTTTCAGATTTAACTACTTAGTCCCCTATTTGTTGGCTTGTTGCCCAAATTATACTATTCAATTTCTGAAATGCAAATTGGAACCTCAATCTAGAAAGTTCTAGGGGCTTCTACTTTCAGTTGCTAGCAATATTCCCGTAAGTAAACTATCCTTATTGCCCCTGCTATTAGTCCTAAAATTACTAACCCATGTTAACTAACCTAGCCTTTCTAACTACCAATGTCAAACTACAAATCTGAAATTAATCAGCGAAAACCAAATTCAATCACAACTCTAAATCTAAAACAACTACTGAATTCCGGA